TGTCGGATAGCCGACCTGAAGGCAAAGGGAAGAGAGAGTATTAAGGGCAGCGCCGAACTTGATAGAGAGGTCCTCATCGGTGAGGTCAAGAACCTTCACGTCGAACATGGAACCATTGTCGTAGACCTCCGTGATAACAAGGCCATAATCGAAAGGGTTGATGTGGAGCTTCTGGAGCAAAACAGCTTCGGAGTTGCCGACCTTGTCTCCGGCCTTCAGCAGGTTGACGGGGGAAGTGATCTCAATGCGGCCCTTCACAATCTTTGTGGCAATCTGCAGGGTCTGGAAAAAATTGGTCTGGCCGGGGTCACAGTCTGTGGGACCGGGGGGCACGATCACATCGATCGGTGCTATCGCACCGACTCGTGCTGGAGCAGGCACACGATTATCTTCGATGAGCTCTCGCACCTTGCCAAGGTCACCATTAGTAAACACGAAGCCAATGTTACCCATGATCTTAGGAAGGAGCATTTCATACGGATGCCCCGGATTTTTCACCAGGTACGCAGTCACAACTTTGCGCATCATCGTATTCTTACCCATGAGGACGACTGCTTCGCCACGCAGGGCGATGCGAATCTGCTGAAATTGTTTTGACCCAACGTTGTCGCAGGACACGATGAAAATTTTTGAGTACATATCAAGGAGCCCCTCCATTTTCTCAAAATACTCTTGCTTGCGCTCGCGCGAGAGGCCCATCTCTGAAGCGATAAGATAATTGGCGATTGGCGAACTGATTTACGGCAATACTATTAAAACTTTAGGTTTTTGTACTCCCACTGTAGAGTTTGCTACATTTCTAATATCTTGCATCGATGGTTCGTACTGCATGATGTCTGGATATTCACTCGTTTGGCTAAGTCCATAGTCTACTCTCAGAGAGAAGGCTTCATCAAAGTCAACTTGCTGTGAGCTCGCAGACAGGATGTATATGGTTTCTATGTCATAAGCAAGATATGGCGATGCTGACATTGGTCGGCAGCAGAATGACACGGCCCGGTGTGTTTGGCAGTGTGATTTACAGTGCCGCTGGGCAGCGGACCGGGGACCTCAATGTTAGAATCCGAGTATGCTAGTATGAAGCACCAG